TTTCGTGCGTTGATGTGTCTCCGTTTTTTCACATCTATTGTCTTTCAAGAATATTCCCACACTTCATTGCGCTTATGTATATACATGTTCCTATTCTCATCAACGGATTTCTGTTATTTTTTATTCAAAAAAACATTTATCGTTTTTCATTCGCTACGAAACAAAGATATACCAACAGCCCTTTATTCGAAGAACTTTTTTTTACTTTTTCATTCAGAGAGAAATAAAACAACTTGTAATCTTCAGTTTTTTATATTCTGTTTGTGTTTAACACTAAACAGATGAAACTTTGTGGAAACAACGAAGTCGATGACGCATACTCTAATTCATATACTAGTAACGACAGCAACGAGAATGGCTTCGTTGTTGATTGTAATGAACTAAGGAATAATTTAGATGAAAATAGAGTGTCTGATATTTAAAAGATGACAGAAATTGTTTTAATACCTATTATACGATTTTTATGCTATCGCCTTGAGTCAAATAAATTCAAATAATTGACGAATCATCTTTCGACAAAAAAAAAATTTCGTTTCAAGAAGGTTAGCAGATGAAATTGAATATCGGATAAATAGGAAGATCAAGTGAAAGGATTCTGATCATATTTGCAAAGTAAAAGCAGAACACGCTAATAATTCAAGAAGACATATGAGAAAGTGTCAAATTTCATGTTTGTTATAGGATTTTCATTCTCATTGCGAAGCACTTAATTCAAATGCAAGAAAATGAGAGAGATATAGGCATGAAAGGGAAAGAGAAGAGATGTAAATTTAGACACCAGAATGTTGCCTTGGAAATTTCTTTTTGTTCTTCGCGCTTCCACTGTAAATAATCATGAATATCAATTGAAAATAAAACGAAATGAGGTATGTAGATTGCTCTACATGGATTTGAAAAAATCCATGAGTGTAGCTGAATAGAAAACTAATCGGAGAAAGATTGAATTTAATAAAATAGAGTAGATTGCGCGTCTCACACATGTTGTCATTCTAGTCAGATTTATGATAGCGGAGAATCAAACATGGAACGGGGTATCTATTCATTTTAAATATATATTTTATAAACTCTTGGATAAGCGAACATACTCTTTTTATCATTCTTTCTTTTTTAAATAAGTGTCTTTATATATAATTAAATACGAACGTATATAGTAGAACTTTTTTTATGCATTATTCGAATAACACACAAGAATAACATGTGTTACATGTGTCGTCCTTTTTGATAGAATGTATGACCAATTATAGTGCGACATGAGGTGCTCGTTGTGACACATTATGTCCAGCAACGGTGCGATACATTTCGAAAACGTGATTCGAATTCATTTTGCAGTACATTCGTCATTTTTCTCCGCAGAAGCAAATAATTACTATCGAATGAGTGATAGTTATTACTAAAGCTCAGACAATCAGGTCTTGAGACTTAACCGTTTCAAGCTCGCTTTGATCTCACTCCAATCGTTTCAAGGCATCCCTATCTCGGTCATTGACCAATATCTGGGCATATCTTCGAACAATAATTAATCGAGAAATAGTCTAGAAAAAAAGACATTCGAAAATATATAAAGTCAATGTGTTCAAGTGAGTTGGTTAAATCTAGCTGTACGCGCAAAACAAAATGGTGAATGAATAGTTAGCAGACAGATCACGACACACTCATAATATACCACATTCTGTTGTGAGGCATTTTCATGGTAGACTGTGATACTCAAACTAGCGACACATAAATGCATCATATTTTATTTAAACGAGAAAAGATCAACGAATTAGTGTTATTCAAGAAGAAAAAAGCGGACCCTTCTGGACCCTATGATCCATTAGGATCCACAGGATCCGTGTTGTTAGATTGATTATAAATTGCTGTAAAACCAACCAGTCTTTCACGGGTTACAGTAAAGTCTGATCAATTTACTCGATTAAAGTAAATTCTGATAGATTTTTGTAGTTTTTAATAATTCTATCCTGTGCTCTATTAATATTCATTAGAGTCCACCAAGATCTATTAGAATCCGTGTTATCTTCTTTCATTAAAAAAATCGTGCTTTGGTAAACTATGATAGATATAAATGGATCTGGATGAATCTCAATAGACTCAATGGATTTCTGTGGATTCTAGTAAATTTTGATGAACTTCGGTACTATCCGATGAATCGGCTTAGGCTTCAATAGGATCCATCAGGATCTATAGGATCGATTGGAAACTCGAATTCAGTTAGTATCAAAACTGATCACTACTCATACACTGTTACCAAATTACACTAACGAGATACAGTCTTAATTCGAACTCATTTCAGTGTGAACTTTATTTAGTTCTTTTTAAGTGATGAATAACAGCTGTGCTACCAACTTTTATTCTAATAATGAATAAAAAAATTAAGTCATGTACACTTATATAAAATCATATATATGATTTCATTCAACAGCAATACACAGTCATATTTCTAAATCCTCTATTATCGAAGTCGATTAGAATTAGTATTCGTACAACGAAACCTCTATTCGTAATATCACTCGAAATGATTAAAATAAACGTTCACATTGAATTTGAATTTGAGTTAAGACTGTCGATAGATTAATTCGTAAACGTATCTGACTAGTCACCAGTTGTGATATTACCTGGATTTGAATCCCAGTCGAGACTCAGTCTTCTTTCTTTGCGTTTCATTCTTTTCAACTGATGAATAACAGCCGTTCTACAATTTTTTATTCGAAAAGTGTTCCTGTGTTAAATCTACTTCTGATTGTTACACTAGATAATATCAGTCTTTTTGCATTTCACATGAGATATTAATATCATTTCTTGTTAGACTAAGAAAATTTTGTTGAAACTTACGCAAAACTATTGCTCATTTCAAAATAAAAGGCGGATGGATATTTTTTGAACAACTTTTGATAGAAAAATGGTAGAGAACTGCGGTTTTCACCGTTGGAAAGAGCAGATGAAAACGCATCGAATCATATAAGACAATTACTTTTAACTTGGACTTTTGAAACCTTTTTCAATAGTTGAACAAAGAAATGCCTTAAAAACAGGCATGATTTTTCCAGAAAAAAAACGAAAAAAATTCAAAAAAACTCATTTTTTGTAAAAATTACTAGCAAAGTGGACTAGAATTGTCGAATATAATGCCTAGAACTCTGAAAGCAGTAAAGCTTTGCATCAAGCTTTATATATAGTTTTGTAGCTCGTCAGCTGGCGATTCTAATCCACTCCTCAAAGTTTAAGATTTGTTATATCTTCATAGAGCAACAGTCTACTCTTCCAAAATGACCCTAAATCACTATTTATTTATGAACTAAATCCCAACAATTTTATATGAATCGACGCGCTGGATCAGCTTCTTTCCAATGGTGAAAACCGCAGGTTTCTATCTTGTTCCTATCAAAAGTTATTCAAAAAATACCCACCCGCCTTTTATTTTGAAATGGGCAATAGTAACTTTGAATACATATTTTCAGAACGTACAGCATGTAAATGTCAAGAACGTAAGTGTTTCATGCGTGTTCACTGTTTCAAAAAGGTAAATAATAAAATTTATACGTGTTCAAAAGGTGTAACATATGATTTCACGTCATTAATGAAACATTTTCCTATTTATGTGTTATAATGCTAAAAAACGTTATGATTGAGTGCTGTGCTGAAATTTTCTATCAAAGATTTATCATTATTAGCATTATGCCTACGGGAAAATTCTAGATTTATGTCAATTTCCAATGATGAGATATGAACACTGAAGTTTACTTAGCATACCAAGTTTTTTCCGACTGATGAGATTGATAAAATATAAGATACCTCACTGCTTGAACTGGACATTATTTTTCTTTCTGAAACTCACTGCTATATAAACACACAAAAAATTCAGTTTGATCGGACGAGCCATTGTTGGGATACATGGTTTGTGAAATACAACATTTGTTGAAGTTCTGATTTTTAAGGCTTTTCGTGAAAAACTAATATAAAATCAACAGTTCAATATTATTGAAAAATGCTGGCACCTAAACTGATAAGCCACCAATAAGCCCAATCCATGGTAAATGGAGCGAATTTGACGTTCTCAGTTGACCAGAGTCAGTTATCACTCATATAGATTCGTTCATAACATGAAAAGTGTATGTATTATTCTCACATTATCTTTGTGTTTGACAGAATTTAAAAAGGCAAACTATTATCTTTCATTAGTGACAAAAGTGGAAGGAGAGATGATAAACTGTACAGATTGTATTCGTTATAAGTTCATGATTTTGCAGTGGTGTGTATTTTTACCGATCTTTTTCATCAAAAATACGTGAATGATGAATTTTTCTTCATGCACTTCATTATGCTGTAACTAAAGAAAATTTTTAATCTTTTCAGCTTAGTTTTAGATCATGTTCGTTTTAATTGAAAATCTCTCGTGTTTAAAAATAATTAAAACCTGGGTTCCGATTCGTCCTATAATTCCTATTTTTTTGAAAAATCCTATATTTTGTCCTATATTTCGATTGATTTTCCTATATTTTGTCAAAAAAGTGGAAAAATTTCACGAGACTTTACTTTGTCCTGAGAGGGAGTACGGGGATCTTCGTGGCGCTCCCCCTCCCCCCCCCCCCCCCCCCCCCCCCCCC